AGACATTGTGGGGGAACCACGCTGTTTCCGTCGTGATTGTGTTCGCAGTAGTCGCGCATGCGTGATTTTGAGCTCACCAAAATGAATATAATTAATGTTCTATAAAAATGGCTACGATCATCTCCTTGTCAGCCACTTCATCTCGTTCACTCAAGCCTCTGCCTCACCTTGGAATTTTCCTATCAAGGTGCTTTATCTCCGACAAGACTCTGGTTTTTATTGCAGAGAGACATCATGCAGTTACTCAAGTCTTTCCTGGTGCTTGGGGCTGTGGGCCTGACGGCGGCTCAGAACAGTACGGCCCACGTCAACAGCACCCCTGTTGAGCCGCCCATTTTCAGAACACCCATTCCTATCCGTCCTCCTCCCACCAACACAACATTGCCTCCAAAGCATGGGTACCACAATGCGACCGTCGTTGTAGTCAAGTCATACACCATTTGGTGCCCCGAGCCGACGGTGATCGTTGTCAACCACCAATCGTACACCGCCACAGGGCCGACTATGCTCACCATCACAAACTGCCCTTGCACTATCACGACGGTAAGAATTTTCTCATCGCCTTCAGGAATGAAAGATGTTGCTCTCAGTCACATCGTTGCCGTCCATGTCTATGCCTGATGCCATGACGAAGTGTAGCTAACACACGCAACCACACTGACAGCCCGTGCAACCTCTACCGACACCGGCTCCCCCACCCGAGGTCCAGCCGACGCCGCCGTATCCCACTGTGGTCCCGGAGAGTCCCGCCCCTGTTCCAGTCAACCCTCCCCCGGTCATACCTCCGCCAGTTGCTCCTCCGCCAGTTGCTCCTCCGCCAGTTGCTCCTCCGCCAGTTGCTCCCCCGCCAGTTGTTCCCCCTCCGGTTGTTCCCCCTCCGGTTGTTCCCCCGCCAGTTGTTCCTCCTCCGGCTGTTCATCCTCCGGCTGTTCCTCCTCCGGCTGTTCCCCCTCCGGCTGTTCCCCCTCCGGCTGTTCCCCCTCCGGCTGTTCCTCCTCCGGCTGTTCATCCTCCGGCAGTTCCTCCTCCGGCTGTTCCTCCTCCGGCCGCCCCTATTCCGGCCGCCCCTATTCCGGCCCCTACGTCTGGTTCAGCACCGACGGGAATACCGGCGCCCGAGAGCTCGGCGGCACCTGTGCCCGCTCGGCCAACCTTCGTGCAGTCTGATGCGTCTGAGAGAAGCGTTGGAATATTGGCTGGTGCTATGATTGTTGTGCTCTCATTCTTCTTCACAGTTATGCTGTAAACAGATGACAGGGTCTTGGACTAGAAGTTCTGTTGCTTTCTTTGGGTCAGGTTTATGGGGCGCTATTTGACTTATGTCGCGGATATTAGTATCCACGACTTTTTAATGTCTAATTCTCATTCCATACTGTGGATAGTCCATTACGAGGGTCTGGATTCAAGATTTACAAATAATCATGTATGCAGTCGTCTATTATTGAAATGTCATTCTTTCCACCTCCAATCCAAGAATTGGATTAGACTACGCTCGGCCGGCGTGGGTAGGTTCTAATCCAGTCTTCAATTTCCGGGACCTTGGTGATGGTCAAGTTGGCCAGGCGAATTCAAACTTCATTGATCATTTCTGCAACCAACATCTGGTCCAATTCCGTTACAGTCTGGCTCCTTGTGTTGAAAGGTGAGGCTACATCTATGAACCCAGGCGTACCCTCGGACTGCTCGGCCGACAGCCCGAGCTTGGCTGGTTAGGTCCGTGGCCGAACTTTGCTGCTCCGAGGCCCGTGGCCAAATTCCATGTCCGAATGCCCAGCCGCAGGAGACTTGATCACGAACAGGAAAGAATCAAACAGTCCAAAATGGCAATAGATTAGGGAATTTTGTGTTGTACTAAAGTGTCTATTGAACGGCCTAGGTGGAGACATTTCTTTTCCACCAGTGCTGGGTAGATATCATCAGGGAAGACAGCATCAATAACGCCAAGATGTCGGTCCTCGGATGAAAATCAAGGGCGAGAAAGCAGTGCCCAGAATACAGATGACAAACCAAGGCGTTATGGTGAGTGGAATCAGGCCGTCTCCGAGACTAAGACCCGGATAAATATTGGCAAGGGCTCATAAAAGACCTCAACGCCTGCCCTTACAGCCGTGACTCTTGATGGCCATCACACAACTGAACTGAAATCAGCCCTTACGAATTATCGAGCTTTGCAAACAACACGATATCTACACGAGCACGGCTGGATCACCAGCTTTCTTTGGGCATACGATGGCTTTGAAAACATCTGTTTTAGTAGTTGGACTTGACTTTAACTGGACAAACGAGCATCGACCTGAGCTCGCTGGCCCAGCGACCGACGAAATAATCGCCGCCCTTGGGGAAGCTTTTGCTCAACTCGACAAGGTCCAGGGACTTTACTACAAGACCGAGCTTTTCACACCAACTTCCGAAGGCAAGGTTTCGGAGGACATTTACGAGCTCATCCGAAATGGCCCGCCGGCTGAAAGTGGATCAGGCAAAACGTGGGACGGGGTCCTGCTCGGGTTCGGGCTTCGATCAGATATCCCATTGACCCCGGCATTTGAGGATTTGGTGAACTACACCAAGGACAAAGTTCCTTCGGCTCGGTTGATGTTCTCAGGGATGGCTGACGACCAGCTCCCTTGTGTTCTGAGGCACTTTCCTCATCTCAAGAAGTAGTTGAGGAGTGGAACCGAAGAATGTGCTCGCTCTTCCTAAACCGTTCCGCAAGGAGGACCAGTCGGAGCTTGCCATGGTATTCAAAGCCACCCTGGGGTCTAAGAGACGAAATAATAGGTCCCAGGGTGAGGGTCGGTTTGACAAATCATCAAGACATGGATTTGCCTGGGCCACTCGTCCACACTAGGAGCGCCAAAACTGTTCAGACAGTGTACGGATTGACAACACACAGATGCGCAAATGTTGAGATAGTCCGAGGTCAGCAAAAGATGTGCAGGAGTGTGTTTGGATAAAATCTGTACAACATCTTTCGAGGTTACACATAATCATACCATTCTAGAGGAAAGGACATGCTAGCAGCCAAAGTTTATTGAATTATCAAACTTGGGCATCACTCCGAGTTAGTGGTGACATGTATCATGTTCAATCCGATCAGCCATGTCGGCTTCCACATAATATATGTGAGATTTGCTCACTAACCAAAGTTTGCGAGACGGTATTCAATCAATATTGAGAATCAGGAGGAACACAAGGTGCATAAATAGGGCGTCTACCCTTGAAGTGACGATCTGTGTTGTGATGCTGTCTCTGATTCACATCGCTAATGGACGACCATAGACGCCCGCATACTCTATGACAGGGCTTCTTCGAGGAATGTAACATTTCAGTTACACTTAGCATTCGATTCAAGACAGTGCCGCCCTAATGTTGCAAGGGTTCATTATCTACTAAAGTATCTACCTTAAACAATGCCAAAACTCCCCACCAACTATTCACATATCTACTCGCGTTTCTGAAGTGAAATCACGACACTGAATCGTCATGCAGTACTTAAACCCAAAACGCCCTTCCAAATCTCGACATCTTCCTCTAATTACACTACCATCAACATCAGCCAGGCTCGCCAACAGATTCATTCCTTCTGACCATAGTTGATCTATCGTCATCTACTATTTTACCATCGTCACACCAACCAAACCATCACAACGTGTGAGATCAAGTTCCCAGCCCACACGCAGGCCCGCATGGATGCCTCCAAGGCAATGAAGGCGGCCAAGACTGCGAAGCCTGCCGACCCTGCCTCCCTTCCACCACTGCAGGAGCACAAGACTTCTGGTCTTCGAGGCCAAGTCGAGGGTCTCGATTTCAGTGCTCGTCAGGCCATCTTGGAGAGCGAAGACCGTGTGGCGATTGCATATGGTAGTCTGGGAAGCCCTCTCATTCTGCAGGAGAAGGTCAACGTAGCTTTGCTACGTCACTGTACGTATCACATCTCCAATGGCTCAACGTCTGCACATTGGGCTTCTCAAACTAAACTGGCCTCGTTTTGATCCAACATAATCTAACCAAGACAAACCAGACATTCCCAAGATCGTCGAAGACTGCTACGCGACCTCAACTAAGTCCGACGACATGATTGTCCTACCCGACAATATGTGGCTAGTCACCGAGCGAGGCCTCAAGCACGTCATCCGCTGCATGCGTCAAGAGATGCAGCATGGAAGCTATAGCTGCAATAATTCCCACGGCGAGCAGAGTGGCCGCTGCATGATTCGGCCCCACTTGAACGTGGTCGACAGCATTCACGCCATGAACACTCTCCGAGCCTTTGGGCTCGACCGCGACGCGGAAATCCTGGGGCGGAAGGGTGGATCGATTGCGGTGGGTCTCAAGATCCGAGCGCAGAAGTGGACTGAAGGCCTTGGTGGCCTTGGTCGTTTCCTTGAGAAGATGGACCGCGATCTTTTGGAGGGCCAGGACAAGGAGCTTCTTTCTGAGGCGTGGGCTGTCTACAACGACCGGCGCTCTGGCAGCAGCAAACCCTCCATAGCGCTACAGAGCAGCGCTTGACACCGTCGGAAGAGCCTCTTCGAGAAAATGAAGTCTCTTGTACTTTCTCAGTGACTGCAAAGTACGGCATTGGCAGATGGCATGGCAAGCTCGGAGTACACATGGCTGTTGCATGTTTCTTGATGGAAAGATAGCCAGGCGGCCTAAATAGCAACCGAGACTCATTTTCATATAAAGACGTTTTGATGGAAAATTGAAGACCTCAATTGTTGAGAATACATTGTGACCTCCATAGGCCAGTCAGTCAAAGGGTTGTCTAAATATTGATGTAATACTCTCGACTTGAAACGACCATAAGGAGCCATGCACGGGGGGCCATTTGAAGCTCCTCTGAATACTGCTGTTGAAAGAACCCGTTTGAAGAGCAGAGAATTGTGAGACTAATCTCAGACGGGCCTCCACATTTCCTTACCGCTCACGCGCGGACTGCTCTTTGGCGTGGATGGAATCCGGTGATGAGTGCTCCATTTTGCTTCAAATTTTAACCAACTGCGATGGTGTAGCGGTAACATTCAACCCTTCCAAGGTTGAGCTCGGGGTTCGACTCCCCGTCGTAGTATCACTTTTTGGATGTTTCCTGATGTTCCTGTAGTGGAGAAAATCTTTTCTTTTGTCCCCCTTTGGCGCCCCCACCCCTATTCCTTAGATTCCATGGCGTATCTCGCAAGGGAGTACGTCCTTGTGAGAACAGAGGCATAGAATGTAGCACCCGTCATCGTCCGGCTCAACCGGAAATTCTGTACTACGGTGGGGACACGGGCGGACGTGCGGCTTATTGCTGTGCCGAGGCTAAACGCGTAGCACAGATTCGTGTTGCATTTTGCGTAATTTTTCCATCTCGAACAGTCTGCATCCTATCCTTCATCCAAGCTTGTTCAACGTGAAAGATGGGTTGCACAAGAAAGGGCAGTTGGTAGACTCGCAGCCACTGAGCGCGTTGCTTATCTTGTTGTGGGGCCGAGTCAACCGAGGTCTATCAGCGTCTGGGCATCCCTCGTCCCACAGTACCAGCCAATGGCGTAGCCCACGTATGCAAACATGCAAGTCAGCCAGATTTTCAGATTCACCTGCAAGATCGCCTCAGCGCTTTGCAGGACATCACAATGGGTCTCAGCTCGAAAAGAGCCGTCGCATCCTGACATTGACGTGTGTCGCTCCATGTCTCCGGCCGTGAGGTAACAAGAGCATCTCCGAAACCATGGAGTCGGCCCGGCTTGCTTAGTCTAACTCATGGTCCCTGTCCCGCTGCAAAGGACCGCCTTGCCTTACAGCCAGCTGATGGTGCCTGGTCTTGTCATACCCGACATGGGCCTCGCTGATTCGCTCCGTTTTGAGAACCAGAGCGACGGGAATCAATGCCTAAATATGATAGGCCTGGGGATGGTGGTACTGGCCTCCACAATGATGATGGGGCTGTCCCTGTCAGCTGGCCTCCCCTGACAATTCCCTCCCCTGGGTTCGGTGCCCAAGTCATGAGGGACTTTGGCGTAGGTCGTCGGTGAGGCATCCAGTCCACTGCTTTTCACCACAGCGTTCCGGCAGATACAGAGTCACTTATGAGCCAGCTGCAGCCGACGACGGTGTCGGATATTGAAGGAGGGAGCTTTTCGCCGCGTAGGTACACATTTGTCTAGCGTGTGCCAGACGCACCCAGAATGCGGCGCCTCGGCACACCTGCGGCTCAAGCGGCGCTGTCCGAGCTTAGACAGCCCAGGATGCGACTCTCCAAGATTATAGCTTTATGGGGCAAACGGGCCTATCCCTACTGGCCCCGGGTTCTCCGTATTTTCCCCAAGTTCTGTGGTGGGGGCAACCTGACTGGCAATGATGGGGCCCCAAACACGCGTGGATACCTTTCCCAGAGGGTATCCCATCCCACGGCCAGCAACTCGTGTTAACCGCGCAAATTGTAGGACACCGTTGCAGATACGATGCCGGGGCTACATGGATGTGGGTTTATGCGGGCGGATTCTCAGCAGTGAAGGGGCGGGTGGCGCCTGGCCGTGGGACATTCCCCCACGCGCGTCGATTGTAGATAATAGGAGCGTGTCTCGCCCACTTTTTCTTGGCCCTTGCTCAGTTTCTTTGGTCTCGACTTCCTGTTCTTCTTTCGTTGACTTGTTGACTTGTTGACTCTTTTCATTCACCACGTGGGTGTCGACAAGAAGCACACACATCCGCGACATGTCGTCTCAAAGCGACATCGAGGAGACCAAGGGGTCGCACCAGGCCGAACATGTCGACGTACCTGGCATCAAGGAGAAGGGTGTCGGCCACGGCGATGTGCTGGAAAACGCGGACGTGATGCATGATGCCTTCGACGGCGAGAACCGCGAGCACGAGATGGGCTTTGCGGAGGCCGTCAAGACGTATCCGTGGGCTTGTTTCTGGGCTTTCATCATGTGCTTCACCATTGTAGGTGCCGCCCTCGCCCTGCCAAGTGCCCAGTCTGATGCCCAGAAGGGGGGCTTGCATGTGCAAAGCTTGCGTGCGCGGGAAGAACCTTGGCTAACACGCTTGTTTTCTTGCAGGTTATGGAGTCCTTCGACATGTTCCTCAACGGCAACTTTGTCGCCCTTCCTGCCTTCAAGGAGAGGTACGGTGTTCCTGTCCCGGGATCCGATGTCAAGTCCATCGAGACCAAGTGGCAGAGTTCCCTTTTCCAAGCCGGTCAATGTGGTGCGTTTGTCGGGGTCCTCTTGGCTGGCCCCATCACCAACCGAATCGGCTACCGCTGGACTACTCTCTTGGCCCTGGTGATGATGAATGCTACCATCTTCATTTCCTTTTTCGTGAGTCATCCCGCGCTACTTAACTCCCTGGCCGTAGGATATATTGTCTGACATGCTCCTCCAACCAGGCCCAATCACTCGAAGTTCTCGTCATTGGGCAAGCCTTCGAAGGCGTTCCTTGGGGATTCTTCATTGCGAATTCTCCCGCCTACGCCAGTGAGATCGTCCCTTTGGCTCTCCGTAGTGCCTGCGCGGCGACGCTCCAGATGAGTTGGTCTATCGGTAGCATTATCGTCGGTGGTGCCACCTATGCCCTCAACCAGCGGAATGATGAATGGTCCTGGCGAATCCCTCTCGCATTGCAGTGGATCTTCCCAGTAAGCCCTAGACCTTCCTAGTAGTGAAGACAGCAAGTGTCTCCCAAAAGTTCCTACAGCTGACACGTACAGGCTCCCCTGATGATCCTCATATTCTTCGCGCCCGAGTCTCCATACTGGCTCATCCGCCACGGACGAAAGGACGAGGCCCTGCGCTCAATCAAGCGTCTTGGACGCCAATCCAAGATAAATGCCCAGAACGAGCTTGCCATGATTGAGCGAACCGTTGAGATTGAAGCCAGGACAGGCGGTGATCCCAAACTGATCGACCTTGTCAAGGGCACCGATCTGAGGCGGACAATAATTACTTGCTTGATCTACACGTCCCAGAACTTTGCTGGTAACCTGATTGCCAACCAGGCAACATTCTTCTTCGAACGTATGTTCTCATCTTCCTCCCACCCCTGATATGTCCAAACTTAGATGGCTGACCCTCAGCATAGAGGCCGGCATGTCGACCAACTTTTCTTTCCAGCTTGGCCTGATCAACTCGTGCCTCCAATTCGTCGCCAACGTTGGGTCCCTGTTCATCTCCGCCTGGTTCGGTCGCCGCACCATCTACCTCTGGGGCACAGGAGTGAACGTAACCTTCCTCATGCTCCTCGGCATCTGCGCATCGATCGCCCAGAACACCGGGACAAACTACGCCCAGGCTATCTTGGGCATCTTCATCTCGTTCGTCTACGCCGGCTCCCTGGGTCCCATCACCTACTCCATCATCTCCGAGACGTCGGCGGTGAGGCTGCGTGCCCTGAGCACGGGCGTCGGCCGCGGCGCCTACTACGTCACCGAGATCCCCATGATCTACCTCGCCTCGCAGCTGCTCAACCCGACGGGCTGGAACGTCGCGGGCAAGTGCGGCTTCGTCTGGGGCGGCACCGCCTGCGTGTGCTGGGTCATGGCCTTCTTCTTCCTGCCCGAGCTCAAGGACCGCTCGTACCGTGAGATCGATATCCTGTTCCACCGCAAGACCCCGGCCAGGAAGTTCAAGTCGACCGTCATCGATGTCCAGGACAACGAGTAAGGGGTTCAAGACCGTTCAAGATTTTATACATAAAGCGCTTCAGTGGAGGAGGTACTTGCATCAATGAGACCGAGACGATGATGGCACGAGACCCATGTGCTTCCCGGCAGCGCGTCAGCTGGGCCCGCAGGCGAGACGGGATGAGCTACAAAGAGCAAGCCACGAGACCACTTAGATAGACATTTGTGTTTTGAATATATTCTACTTCTTCATGATCTTAGATTCCTGAGCTTGATAGTAGAAATGTAGTGAAGGGCTTACATATGTCAAGACCCGGATTTCGATTTCATCTAGATTCTGTCCACACTTTGGTCATGCGACAATGTGACATGAAATTAGTCCTAAACTAACAAGTCTTGGTTGCCGGCCATTTAGGTTACTATAATGCCACAACCTCCGAGCACACAAAGAAGAAATGCCTATCTGCTAGAACCTGGTGCGCATTCCGTATACGGCATCAACGGACTCAAATGTCAATGTAGATTGAAATTGACAATGCTTCCCCCCTCAGTTGGTATGTAAAAGAGAATTGGAAGGGTTGAAAAGGTAGGACTGGCCTCGGAAGAGCGGCATGAATTTACTGTGACTTGGTATTTGATGTTCAAGCTTCAGTTGCGCTTTAATTGGATGCTGGTACCTCACTAAGAAAGGGTACTTCCTTCAAAAGCAGAACGTAGCATACAGTTGATGAGTCTAACTCTCTACCCAGGTATGCAATGGCTCTATCGGGTACACGGAGTCATCGTAGTCAAACCGCGGTTTTCATCTACAAATGATAGTCCCTTGGGTCAGTCACTTTAACGCCGCGCCTCTCCCAGACAGAATCGATGCTCATGTCGGCACTTCCGTCATCCTTCAAGTTGATAAAAGGCTCCGCATCTCCAGCCTTAGGATCTGGGTTCCTGAAAATGGTGTTTTTGGTCTGTCCACAGACTGTCAGTCAATCCCAAAAAGAGGAAGAAAAAGATGTCGGCGCTACTTCGTTGGGACTTACCAATCCCAGAGTCAAGTGGATGCCAGCCGGCCCAACCACAATCTCCTCGCTGGGCTGCCTGCCGTCGACCATCGCTTGGATGTTCTTCGCTACCGCCTGAGCCTGGGCGAACCCAGGACGGGCCGCCTTGTGAGCCCCGGAATCAGCGACATCTCCGAGGGCAAAGAGGTAAGGGTGCGCTTCGTCTTGGAACTGCAGCGTCGGCTTGACTCGGATGAATCCGTTCTTGGGGTTGATGAGCGAATCGTTCGAGGAAGGCGTCAGGTCCTTGAGGAACTGTGTGTTGGGGATCTGCCCGGTCGCCTGGACGACAAAGTCGGCTGTGAGGGTCCTTCCGTCCTGGAGGCTCACGGTGATGGGCTCCCCTGTCTCGCCGAGGGGATATCCTCCGGCCGGGATGTTGACCCGCGAGCCGCCCACAAACTTGACGCC